ACGTGCATATTTGAAAAATTATCATTTTGAAGAAACTGTATTCCCATTTCTTCAAGGAAGAGTATCCAATCAACAAAGAAATAAAGTACTCATATTTGAAGTACTAGAAATGTTTACAATGAATCCCGATCCTAGGACATCTTTGGCAGAAACTAAAGTTGCTAAGATTTTGTATTTAAAACGGATCGTGGATGAAACACCTGATGGCTTCAATGATGCACATAGAATTACAAGAGTTTTTATTAATGAGGGTCAGAATGCACCTGCTCAGATTGTAGTGCCATTGACTACAATACCTCAAGTTATAACAACAACAATTAAAAGAACTTGTAGACCAGATAAGCAACTACGTAAGAAGAAAGCTATAAAATTAACTAATTCTGGTATTATTTCTCAAGAAATTACCACTCATCTTGCAAGACTACCAATTCATGATGATGTATCTATGCATAATGTACCTTCAATTCCTATGAAAAACAATCTTGGAATTGGAAGGAATAAGTACAAGTTGAGTAAAGAATTATCTATTCTATATTGTACTACAGATGATATTTGGAACAGACCATCTATTATAGTAGATGAATCATTTGCATATATGATTATAGAAGCCCTTTCTTGCGAGGAAGACGATCTTGAACCTCAAACCATCAAAGAGGCGATGCGTCGCTGAGATTGGTGAAAATAAAAAACTACTATTGAGGAAGAATATGCCTCTTTGCGTAAGAAAAAAGTCTTTGGTCCAATTATAGACACTCTTACATCTCGCCCTGTGGGATATAAAATGATATTAATATACAAGCGAGATGCTCAAGGCCAAATAACCTGCTATAAAGCTCGTCTTGTTGCTCAAGGATTTACTCAACGATTTGGCATTGATTATGAATCCACATATTCTCCAGTCATGGATTCAATTGCATTTCGATATATTATTGGGATGATAGTTCATGCCACCTTTGAGATACATCTGATGGATGTAGATACTGCATTTCTATATGGTTCTCTTGATGCAAATTTTTATATGAAAGTTCCACATTGCTTAGAAACAGGAATTCCAAATCAACCCGTTCTAGGAAAATATCATGGTATTAAATTATATAAGGCCTTGTATGATTTAAAACAATCTAGACGAATGTGGTATCAATGTCTTTGAGATTATTTAATTACAAATAATTTTATAAGTGATCCACTAATCCCTTGTTTATTTATCAAATGAGATAAAACTGATTTTATGATCATCCTTGTATATGTTGATGATCTTAACCTAGTGGGCACTACATTTGCATGTGTTACAGCTACAAACCTACTTATATGTAAATTTGAGATAAAAATGCTAGGAAAAATAACTTTCTACATTGATCTTCAGATTATTCATCTTACAGATGGTAGCATTTTTCTCTACCAACTAACGTATATTAGACGAATCTTGCAAAGATTTAATATGATTGATGCTTATCCATTGTCCACACCAATGGTTGGACGTGGTTGTAATGGTCATGATCCATACTGTCCATGCGAGGAGGAGGAGGAAATATTAGGAGACCAATATCCATACCTCGCAGCAGTTGGAGCACTTTTGTATTTAGCTACATCTACAAGACCAGTTATTGTATTTGTAGTTAGTATTCTTGCAAGATATAGTGCACGTCCAACACTACGACATTGGAATGGCATCAAACATTTATTATATTATTTAAAAGGTACTGAAGACTTGGGATTATACTACACAAAATCCGCAAATCCAAAATTGGTTGGATATTGTGATGCAAGATATAAATCTGATATTGCAACAGCTAAATCTCAAACAGGATATGTATTTTTAAGACATGAATGTGCAATATCATGGAAATCAGTGAAACAAACAATAACTGTAACTTCATCCAACCATGCAGAAATTATTGCCTTACATGAAGCATCTCGAGAATATATTTGGTTCCCATCAATTAATAAATTCATTCAAACAACCTATGGATTTTCATATGATGATTCTCCAACTATCTTGCATGAAGATAATAGTGCTTGTATTGCATAGATGCAAGTTGGTTTCATTAAAGGTGACAGGACAAAGCATATTGATCCAAAGTATTTTAGTTATACTCATGACTTGATTACTGATCAAGTACTTATACTTAAGAAAATTGAATCTACAAATAACCTTGCTGATCTCTTCACCAAAGCTCTCCCATTAAGCAACCATCGTCAACTTATTTATTGCATTGGTATGTGGCAACTTGCTTTTCTTAAATAAGAAAGTTAATGAGCTCTTTAAATAATTAAAGAAAATGATGTTGTACTCTTTTTCCTTCATCTATGGTTTTGTCCTTAAATAAAATAAGGTTTTCCTAGATAGGGTTTTAATGAGGCAACAATTGTTGATCTTAGAAGATTACAGAAAAATATAGATCATAATTCTATACAAATTTTATATTATGTAAATATTATGATAAGTGAGGAGGAGTGTTGAGATCATTAAATGTAGTTGGCGCTCTCTATAATATTTACTATAGACTACATTAATTACCATAGCTACAGCATTTAGAGTCTAGTGGAGAAGTACTATTTATCCTCTCCTCTTTTCTCTTCTTGTATACGAGACACAACTAGATGAATAGATTTTTGAGTGTGAAGCTCTTTCTCTTTAGAAACCCTCTTGTGTGTATGACTTACTACTACTCTTGTGTGTGTATGACTTACCACTATTCTTGTGTGTGTGTATGACTTACTACTACTCTTGTGTGTGTGTATGACTTACTATTACTCTTGTGTCTTTCTAAACATTCTCAACAGAACCAAACACCATTCATTAATTCTACACAGGGGCAGAACTCATTAATTCTACACAGGGGCAGAACTCATTAATTCTACACAGGGGCAGAACTAACAGAGTTTCATCGAGGGCCATATTTAATGCGTTGTGAAAGGGACTAGAGGATCAATTTGTGAGCTCCGATTTGGCCAAATGCGTTCCAGACTATTGACTTGTCGACACCACCAGAGAGGTCGCAGTGCTGTTTGCTTACTCTGTGGAGGACTAGGTTCATCCGCAACGATGGTATCCCTGCATACCCATCGTGTGTGTGTTGGTGATCGTTGCTCCGGAAAGTCCTAACGATTTGATTCTAGTCTAGAAAGGCGCTGATTCCAAACAAAATTCGGTTAGACAAATTTTGGTTCGGGAACGACTACGTTTTTATCTATCATTTTTTTTCATTCTTTCCCCCCTCTTTCCAGCATCCTGCATTACTATCACACGAGACGGTAGAACAAAATCGAAAAGAAAAGTTTATGCGATGACATTCTAACTTCAAAAGAGAAGAATAAGTGCAAAATAAAAGTGGCATGACTTCGACAAGAAAAGTTTTCTACCACTGTTTTTGAATTTCATAGACTTCACGATTCATTCAGCACAGGGACAGTGCCAGATTTAGGTTGGAACAGAACCATCGTCGGTTGGGGACGGAAACGTGCGGTGGATTACATTGTCCCCAGATGAAACACGGCGGGATTTCAGAAGGGTGTCCGACAACAGTAACACCAGACCGAGAGGAAGCTTCGCTTGCAACAACGTCGAGGAAAATAACTGTTGAGCTGATGGGAGATTGATGGCCCATTCAGGCGGCGTCTGCATGGGTTTTCATAAACAATTAAGATTATAATTAGAGAATTTAAGTAAGTAAAAAAAATGGTTAAAAAGAGGTGTATCGGATAAACATCATATGACCATAAAATTAAGCATAAGTTAAGCTGTTTATATAATCTAAGATCAATGAAAATGATTTTTTAGCAATTTTTTTCACATAATTCAAATGTAATTTAAATCTTGACTAATAAATTTCTAAAAATATAACATTTATAATGATGTATTTTTTAATTGACTTATTTCAAAGGATATTAAATAGAAGGCAATAACTAAAAAAGAAAAGTAAATTTGTCATCAATTGATTGTCTTAAAAGAATGAAGAACATTTTAGGATAAATTGTAAAGTATAAAGGATGTAAAAGGATTAGAAATAAAGTACAAAGGATATAATAAAAAAATTACGAATGAGATAATTAGTTTCAAGACTTAAAGCTAAGTAGTAACTGAAAGTCATTAACTTGATAATTTATTACATATATAGATTTATATTTATTTATTTAAAAAAATCATAACTCTAAATCTTAAATGTCAAAAATAAAAAAACAGTATCTAATACCACAAATATGTTAATTACTAATAGCAGTAATATCATAACAATCAATAATATTATCAATACAAAATATTTCTAGTAACAATTAATGACAACATTAATAATCCAATGACTTTCAATAAGAATACATGATTTCTAGCACCATGCCCGTTCAATCTCAACTTCCAAATCCACACTTTTGTGTGGCCAATTCTACGACAAAATGGCATCCACCTGGCACATCATAAATAATGACACGTGTCGAAATCTAATTTGATGTGACCCAGGGCAGCCTTTGTGTCACCCACGTGTAACTTGGTAGGGAGATCCTTTTCACACTGTGCTACTCATGTTCACATGGGGCTCTCTGTTTGAGCCAAAGCCCATCGCCCAAGTCGTATTTTAGGTGTCTGGTCACCGTTGTCTTAACAGGGCTGGGGCTACTTTCTTTGACTTTACTCCGGCTGCTTTCACACACGCTGGAGACAACACATTTTTAGCTTCGAGGATATGCTTGTTTTATTTCGGAAATGGGGAGAAACCTGCTTGTTTTATTTCGGAAATGCAACATAAAAAACGATGTTAAAAACGGTGCACTGGTGGACAAGTTTGAAGCGCTGTTGTGTTGTTCTCTGCAGAGCCCCCATCGATTCTGATTCTGGGTCGTGGCACACGAAATAATCCGGAGATTTCAGTAATGTTGACTATAAATGTATAGAATAAATGAAAGAGAATGGCTGTTGAAGTCAGAAGATACCGCATATGTCGTCATGCATCGCTAATCTCGGTGTGGTAAACACAAAAGACTTATTTCACTAACTGGGAGTAGCACTAAACTCGATGCTTTATAACCTAACGCTGCCCCCTCTTGCTGAGCTACGGCTGCCTTTCTGCGACGTTGCTTCCGAAAGTTTGCCATCAGTTTTTGAGAGTGTTGCACTGGTCTTCGCTGCGGAGCTCGTTGCAGAGGGAGTTTTTGGTGTGGCGTCAGTTGGGTCATCGCAGAAATGGCTCCCATCACAGTTGGAGACAAAATCCCTGACGTGACGCTGTCGTACTTGGACGATGACAATCAGAGCCAAAAGTTTAACACACACGAGGAGCTAAAAGGGAAGAAGGTGGTTTTGATTGCTGTTCCTGGCGCATTCACTCCCACTTGCAGGTAAACAGCTTCGTGCTTTGTGATTTTTGGTGGGATGTGGCTAGATCTGTCGATTCACTCCTCTGTTCACTTTTCTTGAGCTCAGTAAGATTATGAAGGTGTAGGAAGATGTCTGCTCAGGGTTAGCCTCCCAGAATCCTGCTGAGGACTTTCTGTGGAGTTTCATTGGTTTTGAGTCTCGATGCTTGTCTTTCCCCTGCTGTAGAATGTACAGATGTTGCGCAGTGATTATATGTCGTGAACGGGAGAAGAACCTTTCCTTGGAGGGGGTTAGCCGCACTTACTCCCGTTCTCTGCGTGCTCTGATCAGAGACAGGGAAAGTGAGTGCTATCCAGTTTTTAGTAAACGGTATGTTAATTCATAATTCTTGGCGTTTTGCGGGTTAAGTTATTGACGCTATTGTGTATGGCAGCCAAAAGCACATTCCTAGTTTCATTAACAATGCCGAAGAGATCAAGAACAAGGGTGTTTCGGATATTATCGTCATTTCAGGTCTGTCTAATATCTTGGTGCGATTTTATCGTAGTTTCCTACAAATAGTGATTTCGAATTGGATAAGTTCAATGCTAATGAGACGCGCAATTGTTTATTTAGTATGCCTTACTCTTTCTAGCTTCAGATTCTTTGTTTCAGAGTTTGCTTGAACATTTTGCATTCAAATGTTTAGGATCGATCATAAGAGGTTTTCTGTTATGCAGTGAATGACCCGTTCGTCATGAAGGCGTGGGAGCGTTCTTATGAAGGTGCCGAGCACCTTAAGTTCGTGGCCGATGGTTCAAGGGATTTCACCAAGGCATTGGGGTTGGAGCTCGACTTGTCTGAGAAGGGATTGGGTGTCCGTTCTTATAGATACTCTCTCCTAGTCGATGACCTGGTTGTGAAGGTTGCGAATATTGAGGAAGGTGGTGCATTCAGCATTTCTGGAGGAGAGGATATTCTGAAGGCTCTTCAGTAAAATCGACGACGTTAAAGACTGCCAGGAGCGTTGATGACACCTTTGAGGGATCTGTATGGTGCTGGAGGATTCGAAGTTAATGTCACTCTGAGCGCTTGAAAAGTGCAGTTTGGAGATGGTGTTTGCAGTGCTTGTAAAGATACTGAGCTTGTTCTGAATATCGATACTGTTCCGTAGCAAAGACTGTTGATACTATTGTGCAAATTCATGTCCCGTTCACATGATTCCTAGCGGTTCCGGTTTGACATCCAAATTGTTTGATTCATCAATTCTGCACAATCGTGAAGTTGGTATTGTATGAGTTTTAGTTTGTCATCTTCAGTACCCGTTGATTGGGATTAGACCTAGCATCTGTACAGCATGCAGGGCCTTAGGATGTCTCGCATAGGGACATCAAACTTTCGAGTACTGCGAGCTTTTATCCCTTGCCGTGCTTTTTTGCATCACTCTCAAGTTCTGTCGACAGTTAGTGCGAAGTGTCTCAACTGATATTCCCGCCACAAACCCTTCCAATGATCAACTTAACTCACTCTTAGTTTACCTCAATTCTTCGATGTGATAATCCCTCGGACTGACATTGCCCATAAATCTTGATAAATGCAGCACCCATTCTCTTCACGTAACATAAGACACAAAGTTTTACGGTGGATATTTTTTCCTCCAAAGGGGCTGTGCAAGAAGTTGGCAATATTTTAATGGAGATAACTGTTGGTTTTATGGGCAGGCCAAAGTATTTACAGCGAATAATATCAAGTAATCAAGCAACCATGTGTTACCGTCCATATGCATGTTTGCCATTCTGTGAACTTGCATGAGATAATTTCTACCTTGCCGCAATTTTCTAAAGAAAGTACAAGAGGCCAATTATTAATATTCTAGCATTTGGACAACAACATCCATCTCGGTACTCTGTCTGCAGCAGCGTTTCAGATGAGTACTCACATTATCGAAGTCGTTGCATCTTATTCAAAATTTTAAACAGCTGCCGTCTCGGTTTTGTATCCCTGCAACATCCGTTCTACATATTTCCCTAAAATATCCACCTCCAGGTTCACCTTCGCGCCCACCTGCACATCATTAAGGCATCAGATTATGCGAACACCTTGCACGCTGAATAGGGGTTCAAAACTGAGTACGTGCAAAAGAACATTCTCTCACCTTCTTCTGAGGGATTGAAATCTTTTGCTGTGTGTACGCCACAAGCATGAAGGTGAAGGATGATTCATCGTTCAGCACGTCCACTACAGTCAAACTCGTTCCATCTACTGCAATGTAACCTTTCGGAACGATGAATTTAAGGATCTCTGGAGTAGTTTTTACCGTCACCCACAAAGAATCCTTCTCAGGCTTGAAAGAGACTATGGTACCGGTTCCGTCAACATGGCCTTGAACAAAGTGGCCACCCAAGCGCGTGCTTGGCAGAAGAGATCTTTCAAGGTTCACAGGAGATCCTGTCGAGCATTCTCCGAGCGACGTCTTTCTTAGCGTCTCGGGGGCTAATCCTACACTGAAAGAGGATGAATCGAACTGAGTGACAGTCAAACACGTCCCATTCACTGCAATGCTATCACCAAGCCTGACGTTTTCTAAAACAACGCTAGCTTCTATCGTCATAGTAAATCCTCCGTCGTCCAGCACTCGCACTTCCTTCACATTGCCCATCTCTTCAACCAAACCTGTGAACATGGATCGTGCTCCTTCCTCTCCTGCCAATCTGTGAGCATGACAATCATAAAGATTACGCCGACAAATGTACAGTGGATTGTAGCTTTCTCCCATAAACGCGAAGCTTAACACGTCCTTACTCAGTATTAGACCATAAATAAAGCCTTATGTCTGAATGTGAGTGCCCAATTGCATTCCTAATCAATGTTTAGTATAATCATTTCTGTAAATCTGCCTCTAAACAGTCACACTAATCGACAGGAATAGGTCACCAACCGCGTGCACGAAAAGAGACGGGCAACTAAGTGCGTTCGAATTCAGCAAGGCAGAGATAAAAATAAAAGTTTAATTCAATTTGCACGCGAGGTAATGACAAAGCTTTACACAAAATTAGCGAGACTCAAATCAGTATTCATTCCAATGCTTGCCCTTGTCCATCCCATTACATCCATACACTCCAATAACAACTCACATAACCCCGTCGTCCCCGACTTCCCCCTCCCCTCAAAATCAATTAAAGTAAGAAAAAACACCCATCAACAGATACTTACCTTGTCTGTTGCAACGCCACACCATTGCCCAAACCAAATACTCGTCCGGACTGTCCAAAGAAGCGACTGCTAGACGAACCTCGCAATACACCTCCTCTAAAGTGGCACGAAATCCCGCCACAAGTAACTGGGGATGAAGATGAAACCACTGAAGCTCTGGCGGGAGCGAGAGACTTGGAAATACTCAAATCCGAGCAAACAGAAGCCGAAGCTGGCAGTCTGGCCTTGTTTGCCACCGCAGAGAAGAGCCGCACGAGCGTAGCCATATCCGAAGCTTGATTTCTGATGACGATGTTATCAAACTACACACTCCGAAACGAATAGGAAAAAAACTGAAACCCAGATAGGGTTGTCGAAGGGAAAGAGCTTGAACACCACTAGAATGCACTCATCGCCTTAGTAATCCCCCAAAAAATCATATCTGCATTCGATTCTTGCAGGGGTTGTACGAAAATGAGCCAATACTCAGACATTGGTGAGGGTCCCACGATGTCTCGAATTGTTTTGAATTGTAGGTGCACATGAAGATGGATGAAGTTAAGGTTAGAATCATTCCATTATTCTCATCCACATGGTGTTGTTGCATTTCTGCCTTCTACCACCCTCATGTCACCGCGCAGCGGCTAGTTCTGCCTTAAATGGTGCGCGGCGGTTCAATTGGCTTTTGGGTGTGTGCGTTAGCACCTTGTGGACTTCATTTCACTAATCGAAATGAATCGGTATTCTGTAATTGTGAGTTTCATGGGTTAGGGAATCGTGCGTCCCAAACAAATGCTACGCATATTTATTGCTGCATCCTTATGTTACCAAATCGATAGAGGATTCTGGATTTTGATGAGTGAGTTGGGAAAAGCGCTGAAGATTTCTTAGCAGAGCGTTTATCTGTTGGAGTTGAGGGACCTGCATGTTGAGCAAGGGTAAGGGTTAGAGGAAAGGTTTTCGTTCAGAAACAGGAGTTTAGGGTTTTTGAGGACTGAAATTTTGCGGTGATGGCAAGTAGGATCTCTATTCGGGTACTTGCCAAACGCTCTATATCTCTTTGGTCGGTGGTTGAGAGGAATGGTTCTCCTATGGGATTACAGAATGGGGGTGTTTCTGGGTCACCCCAAACACCCCATACTTCTGAAGTAAGCAAGCAATCAGGAATATTTGCCTTTCAGCATGTTCGTTCGTTGGTCGGCAGTACAAAACCAGAGCTCAAGGATGATACAGACGATGTTCCCAACATGCCCCGGCTTAGCAGTTCTGGAACAATGGGGCGTCGGTTTTACAAGAAAACGCACACGAAGCCGGCAGAGGATGGATCTGGGTACATAGTAATGCTGGATGGTAGGGAACTTAAAACTCCTGCCAGGAAGCCATTAAAAGTACCTAATGCAGCGCTCGCTCTTGCAATCGCTGCGGAGTGGGAGTGGCAGGTATGTTGTTTATCGATGGTTTGGGGTTTAAAAAATTCGTTTTGATTTCTCTCTTTTCTTGGTCAATTTGAGGAGCAGGCCATACTGTTGACTAGAATCTGATTACACAAATGTTTGGCAGCAAAGTGGCATCCGACCGTACACAATGCCGATGATGAAGCTCGCGGCTACTTCCATAGATCAGATTCCCAGAGACCGAGAACGGGTCATTCACACACTTCTGAAGTACTTTCATACAGATTCCCTGTGCTTACGAGCTGAAGACACCGATCCTGTTGCTGGTATCATCGCAAGCACTCTTTTTATGTATGTAGCAAAACTAAAATCTAAATGGGAAGAAAACTGTGATGATTTTAATCATAAGTTTTGACTCTCGTTGGGAATAGAATTTATATTGAAGCGTCGATTCTGCATGCCGCCCCTTGTGATCGTAATTTTTCTCATGTACACTGAAATCGCAGAGAAGCAGTCCGCTGTATGGGATCCTCTTATCGACTGGGCAGAGCAGGAGATTGGTGAGCGTCCCGCGGTGACTTCAAGCATCTTTGGGACTACACAGCCCTCACATGTGCTTGAAGCGATGGAGAAAGTTTTGATGCAAAGCAGTGATTGGCAACTAGCAGCTATTGACTGGTTAGCAGGTACAGCACGCTCCCTGATTGTTGCGCTGGCTATAGCTCGCGGGCGACTGGGCATTGAAGAAGCAATGGAGGTCATTCGGCTGGAAGAAAATCACCAAGTATGCATTTCTCTCCATTCTATGTTACAGTGTGCGTAAGTTTTGGAAGATTACTCATACTTATTCTGTCACGGATGAAACACCGAACATTGCTGTCTTTTAACGAAATTAAGTTGTACTCTAATGTACATAAATGTAAAGACGTTAGAATTTCTTTCGTCCTTTCCTAAAGGAATCTTTCCAGGTGCAGATCTGCGTAGGCAGTAAGAGGATTCTCCAAGTTTTATGGAATGTAAGTTCAATCTTTTGATATTGTTGCCTGATTTCCCTGTCTGTGCAAAGGTAGAGGAGTGGGGATATGTGGAAGGCGGTCATGACATCGATGAGGCCGATATGCGAGTTAAAATCGCCGCTTGCTCTGTTTTCATGCGACTCCTTTAAGTTAAGGAAAACCAGGAGCGCATTGTTCAAGTTAGGAAGAACTGGCCAACGAGTTGAGCTTATTTCTTGTAGAGCATTAGGGTATTAGGGTAACATCCCTGCAGAACTGGGGTTTTCAATCAACAGAACCAGAGGGCTTGTATTCCAAATCTGGGTGAGGGAGCAGATTATTGTAATAAGGAGCTCTAGAGGTTTCAAAATATACTGTCATCTTTTCGCAACTATGAAATATTTTTGGAGAATCGCGGCCCTGAAGGATTCTGATCGAGAGCTTGCAGTGAAGTAGGTGTATGGAGAGGGACGGTGGGGAAATGTGAGATGGCACTTTAGATGGGAAGAGTTGGTCTTGATTTGTAATTGCACAAGTATGACGAAAATACTCTAAGAAAAGAGTGCTCAAAATCCTTCCCTTCATGATGCTAGTATCCATGAATTCAATTCATATTTAAATCCGGCATATACATTAATGTACAAGTCATGGCATCAACTTACATGGGACAAGGGAGTAGGATGGAGCAGGCAAAGGAACTACATATGACAACTCTCTATATAACTTCATAAGTAAGTCCCCCATCCTTACACTCAATCTATGAAACTCAAACGAGCTTCAATAGCTTTGAAAGCCTCAATTTGGAGGAAAGATGTTCTAAAGGGAGCTTTGAGATTTAGCTTCTCTATTTTCTAATAAAATGAGAGTGATCAGCTCACACCACTATAATATGAGTAAGACATATTATTGCAAAAAGACAATGGCAATACATTTGCAACATAGATAGAAAAGAACTATTTCACCAATCAAAGGAATATTGGAATTGCATCACCTATTTACACCTTATATCAAAATCAAAATCCAAATCAATTAGATAGAATAGGTAATCCAAGCCATATTGAAGGAACCAATTCAATATATTATACCATAGACAATCCAATCATCAAACATGAGACAACATTATTGCACAAGATATTAGAATTGGCCCATTACATATTAAAAACTCTCAAGACTTTCGTACTAACAAATTGAAATATTGCAAATGACTATTCAATCTAATGCCCAATTAGAATTATTATACTAGTATGCATTGAAAGTAGAGCTCTTGAGGCTCATGGAATAGATCAAGCCAAAAGTAAAAATGCTGATATAAGCATTTGAAATTGATACACCAATCTTTTGTATCTTAAACACATCCATGCAAGTAGAACTAGAAATATTGCAATTACACCTGACACATAATACAATCAAGATCAGCCTTAGTCCAAATACAATGCAAAAATTACAAAAACAAATCATACATGAGAAGAGACATATCCTAATAAAGTACTTGAAGGAAATTTTGGAACTAGGGATATTACATGAATGGGCCACCCAAGTCCTTCACAACTCATATTCTTCAACTACAATTCTTGGTGGAGGTTATTTTGAGGTACAATTTACTATGAACAAAAAATAAAACAAATGTTCTCTAAACAATACAAATTCAATAGTCAAAATATTCTTTTTAATACTTGGTAAGTGTCATGGACATACATTGGAAGATTCTTCGAATATTCTTCTAGAATATTCCCTAAAGATTCTCTTAGAAGGTTCTAGAATATTCTTAGAAGGTTCTAGAATATTCTGATAGATTCTAGGAAGTTGCTCGAGAAGTTTCCTAATTAGTAGAAGTTGTTGGAGAAGCGTCCTAGTTAGCGGAAGTAGCTCGAGAAACTTCCTATTCAGTAGTATATATAGGAGTCGAGGCTGAAGGGTTCTTCAGTCTCGACAACACATCTCTTGGAGTTCTAGCTCACCTTTCTGGTGTTGTTCTTGTACTCATCTGTTTAATCTAGTTCTGCCACTTCTTCTTGAACTTCTTGTTAGATTTCAAGTCTGTATTTTGTGTCCGTGACAGTTTGTCGAGACTGCATTTTCACTGGTATCAGAGCTAGTTCCTTCTTGTTAGAGAGTGGATTACCCCTCTTCTTGAAGGTGTGCTAGTGTTTTAGAGGTTGCGGATTACCCTCCTCTAAACTGATATCTCTTCTTTCTCAATATTGGAGCCTTATTCTTCTTGGAAAGAGTGGATTACCCCTCATCTTGGAGTCTTAAGGCGTTTTAGAGGTTGCGGAGTACTCTCCTCTGAACCAATATTGTCCTCTTGTCAAAACTCTTTTTTCTTCTTTCTGAAGGTTAGCCGAAGGTTAAGACGTTAAAATGGCTGAAAGTTTGGAATCCAAACTAGACGCCATCATAAATGCTCTTGCCTCGTTGTCACATAGGACAACAGAGATCGAAGGAGTCATGGTAGGACTCCATAACAATGGAGCATCTGGGATAGCGCCATCTAAAGCATATCAGCCTCAAACTTCTGCGCCAGAAGAAGCAGTTCTACCTCCATTTCAACAAGATCGAGTAGTCCTACAACGAAAGGAGCCTCGAGTTAGTCTTCCGGATAAGTTTGATGGAACTCGTTCCAAGTTTCGAGGTTTTGTCAACCAAATCAGGTTGATAACAATTTTACAGCCCGAACGTTATCCGACGGAGGAAGCGCGTGTTGGGCTTGTTGGAACCTTGCTTACAGCACAAGCTCTGTCTTGGTTTACTCCCTTGTTCGAGAAGCGATCGCCAATCCTGAGCAACTTTGAAACGTTTTTGGAGGCGTTTGCAGAAGCATTTGGCGAGCATGATAAAGTTCGATGGGCTACAACAAAGATCCGATCGCTACGACAAGGAACACGCTCTGCATCAGTCTATGCCTCGGATTTCAGACAATTGGCAAGTGACATTAATTGGGGTGAAGAGGCGTTGGTGAGTCAGTTTTATTGGGGCTTGAAGGATGATGTGAAGGACTTGCTGTTATCTCTTCCTGATCCTCAAACGCTCAACGAAGCTATTAGCCAAGCTGTAAAGTGTGACAACCGCCTATTCCAGCGTCGCTAAGACCAACGTTCAAGACACCAAATGACTCGTTACGACGTGACTATGTCTGCAAATAGCTTAAACTCACATTCGGAGGCAACAGACATGCAAATCGACATGGCGCGTGTCCGATCTCTTACTCCAACAGAGAAGAAACGGCGTATGGAGGAAGGGTTATGTTTGTACTGTGGAGAAGAAGGTCACAAGGTTGGAAATTGCCCAAAGAAGCAAAATTGGCACCCTGTCAAGACTAGAAGTGCGATGATTCCGGAAAACGACGACGCCCAGCCACAGTAGGAACCGTGCGGCTGGACAATCTAATATCACGACAACAATCAGGTTCCTCCTTCTCTGTCCAACCTGCCCGTTGTTTTACAATTCCTTTGTTTTTAGGCCCTCAAAAACAAAAAACTTTAGCTTTATTGGATTCGGGGGCATCTACTTGTTTTTTAGATGAAGAGTTTGCTAAACGCCACAAGATCCGTTTAGTACAAAAGTCCAAACCTGTTCACGTAGAGGTGATAGATGGACGACCCTTATTGTCAGGCAACGTTACCCACGAATCAGAACCTATAGAAGTGGTGTTTAAGGACCATAGTAGTCACGTTATTTTTAATATTATTAGAACCCCATCAAGCCCTGTTATCCTTAGTCTTTCTTCGTTAGAAGATCATAATCCGTCCATTGATTGGAGGCTACGAAGGATAACATTTCCTGAAAAAAATAATAATAAACCTGTTGGTAGAACCTACATGAAGAAATCCATGTTTATTGGAGCGAGAGCGTTTCTAAGATTGTCCAAGGAAGGCGCACCATTTGTCATTTATGCAGCTCCAACTAGCGGCGAGAATATCTCAACATCGAATATACCAGAGCAATATAGGGATTTTGAAGACGTGTTTCAGAAGAAGAACGCCGATATACTGCCGGAACATCGACCATATGATTGCGCCATAGACTTAGAGGAAGGAGCGCAACCACCTTTTGGTCCAATATACAACCTATCGCAGACGGAGTTGGCAGAATTACGAAAGTACATCGATGAGAATCTAGCCAAGAATTTTATTCGACATTCAAAGTCGCCAGCTGGAGCACCAATCCTATTCGTGAAGAAAAAGGATGGTTCACTGCGGATGTGCGTGGACTACCGAGGACTCAACAAGGTGACCAAGAAAAATCGCTATCCCTTACCTTTGATCTCCGGCCTCTTAGATCAACTTGGACGTGCAAGGATTTTTACAAAAATTGATTTAAGAGGAGCCTACAACCTTGTGCGAATCAAAGAAGGAGATGAATGGAAGACAGCCTTTCGTACAAGGTATGGCCATTTTGAGTACAATGTCATGCCTTTTGGTCTTACCAATGCTCCAGCGGTCTTTCAGCATATGATGAACGACATCTTTCGGGAGTACCTCGATGACTTTGTTGTCATCTATCTAGATGATATTTTGATATTTTCCAAGAATGAAGAAGAACATGAGAAGCACGTTTGTTTGGTTCTTGAAAAACTACGCGAACGAGGACTCTACGCCAAGTTGGAGAAGTGTCAATTTCACCAGAATGAGATGGAATTTTTGGGCTTCATTGCGACTACAGAGGGCTTGAAGATGGATCCAAAAAAGGTAGAAGCAATTATATCTTGGGAAGTTCCGAAGACGGTTAGAGATGTTCAGTGTTTTCTTGGATTTGCTAACTTCTATCGGATCTTCATCAAGAATTATTCTCAAGTTGCTGCACCACTCACGCGTCTAACAAGCAAAGACAAGCTCGAATGGGGATCACAAGCAGCAAAAGCATTTCAAGATCTCAAGACGGCATTCACTACGGCTCCAATCTTGGTACACCCTGACTTTGCAAAGGCTTTCTATTTAGAGACCGATGCTTCAGATTTTGCTTTGGGAGCTGTGCTTTCACAGATGGGCATAGACAAGAAGCTTCACCCAGTTGCATTCTATTCACGAAAGTTCTCTGCTGCTGAGATCAACTACGAGATCCACGACAAAGAGTTGCTTGCTATAGTGGATGCCTTCCAAGAGTGGCGTCACTTCCTCGAAGGAGCTGCACATCCAGTGACTGTTTATACGGACCACAAGAATTTGGAGTACTTCATGACAGCTCGAATTTTGAATCGTCGTCAAGCTCGATGGAATATGTCTCTATCACGATTTGACTTTATTATCACCTACCGCCCTGGAAAACAGCAAGGATTATCTGACGCATTATCGAGGAGATCGTATCTTGCGCCAAAGGCTGGAGAAGCAGCGTTTGATCAACAATGTACAATATTGTTGAAACCAGAAAAATTCAGGATTTTTGCTGCTGTTGCAACTATCGATGACGGCTTCCTCAGCGAGGTACGTACTACAACCATTGAGGATTCTATAGCTCTTGACATCAAACAACGTGTCGATAATGACAAGTTTAAGGTGGAGGGAGATCTTCTGTATTTTGAGGAGCGGTTGTATATCCCAAAAGGACCAACTCGACTCCGAGTACTTCAATCTCGCCACGACTTT